GCAGCCTTCATCAGATTACTTATTGGGGGAAATAAAATTTAGCCATGTGAACAGGTCCAGTTTTATCAGAAGTATAATTTGGATCCAACTGTCTTTTATAAACTGGTGAGCTTGCCGGGCACAGTGGCTCACGTGTGTAATCCCAGCACTTTGGGAGGCTGAGGCGGGTGGATCACCTGAGGTCAGGAGTTTGAGGTCAGCCTGGCCAATAAGGCAAAACTCTGTCTCTACTAAAAACCACAAAAATTAGCCGAGCGTGGTGGTGCACTCCTGTAAGCCCAGCTACTCGGGAGGCTGAGGCAGGAAAATCGCTTGAACCTGGGAGGCAGAGGTTGCAGTGAGCCAATAAAATAAACTGGTGAGCTTGTGTTACTAACTCATGACTTACATTCTAAAATGAAAGTTATAAGACCTTTATGTGTGTGTATACGTGTTTTTGTTTTGTTTTGTTCTGTTTTTGCTTTTTGTGTTTTTAAAATTTTTATTTCTTAAGTACAGATGGGGGTCTTAGTTTTGGGTTTCTTTGTTTTTGTTTTTTTTAAGACACAGTCCCACTCTGTCGCCCAGGCTAGAGTGCAGTGGAACAATCTTGGCTCACTGCAACCTCCACCGCCCAGGTTCAAGCGATTCTCCCACCTCAGCCTCCTGAGTAGCTGGGATTACAGGCACCCGCCACCGTGCCCGACTAGTTTTTGTATTTTAGTAGAGACGAGTTTCATCATTTTGGCCATGGTTGGCCAGGCTAGTCTGGAACTCCTGACCTCAGGTGATCTGCCCACCTTGGCCTCCCAAAGTGCTGGGATTAACAGGCATGAGCTACCATGCCCAGCCGGGGTCTCTCTATGTTTACCCAGGCTGGTCTAGAACTCCTGGGCTCAAGCAATCCTCCTGCCTCGGCCTCCCAAAGTGCTAGGATTACAGACATGAGCCACCATGCCAGACCTGTATGTGTGTTTAGATGTGTTTATGCATATGTACGTGTATTATGCAAAATATCTGACATAGTTGGCCAGAAATCCTTTAAGAAATTCTACTTATATATTTGGGTGCTCATATAGTTGCAAATATTGTTGGGTGCAGTGGCTCACACCTATAATCCCAGCATTTTGTGAGGCCAAGGTGGGAGGATCACTAGAGACCAGGAGTTCAAGACCAGCCTGTGCAACATAGCAAGACCCCAACTCTACATGAAATTTAAAAATTAGCTGGGCATAGTGGCCTGTGCCTATAGTCCCAGCTACTCAGGAGGCTGGGGTGAGATGATCACCTGAGCCCAGGAGTCTGAGGGTACAGTGAGCTATGATTGTGCCACTGCACTCCAGCCTGGGTGACAGAGTAAGATTCCCTTTGTCTGTTAAAAAAGAAAATATATACAAGTTACTATGTGTGTGTGTGTATCTGTGTGTTTATGTATATATATAGAGAGAGAAAGAGAAATTAATCCAGATGTCTTTTACTTCCTGTGACTTAAGTAAATCTTTAATCTTTAATAAATAAACTGGTTTTAAAACTATTGGTAAAATAGGCGGGGCTCAGTGGCTCACACCTGTAATCCCAGCACTTTGGAAGGGTGAAGTGGGTAGATCACCTGAGGTCAGGAGTTTGAGATCAGCCTGGCCAACATGAGGAAACCCTGTCTCCACTAAAAATACAAAAAAAGTAGCCGGGTGTGGAGGCAAGTGCCTGTAATCCCAGTTACTTGGGAGGCTGAGGCAGGAGAATTGTTTGAACCCGGGACGCAGAGGTTGCAGTGAGCTGAGATCGTGCCACTGCTCTCCAGCCAGTGTGGCCGAGGAAAATGCTCTCTCTCTCAAATAAATAAATAAATAAATAAATAAATAAAATAAAGAAAGTATTGGTAAAATAAAAATAGAAATGTCTTCAGAATTGTCATCATACATTTTTGCTTGGGTTCACTGGTCAGACAGTTTTATATTTATCTCCACTAGATGTTTTAAGGTTTCAGGGTCTGACACACGGGTTATAAGACTATAAATCAAATTTCAAACAAAATGACCTGTGTTTGTATAATTTTTTGTTGTTGTTAGAGATAAGGTCTTGCTCTGCTGTCCAGGTAGCATGATATAACTCACTGTAACCTCGAACTCCTGGGCTCAAGTTATCCTCTGCCTCAGCCTCTTGAGTAGCTAGGACTACAGGCACAGGGAACCATGCCCAGCTAATTTTTTTTTTTTTTTTTTTTTGGTGGAGATGGAGTCTCATTGTATTGCCCAGGTTGGTCTTGAACTACTATCCTCAAGCAATCCTCTTGCCTCCCAAAGTGTTTGGATTAGGCTAGGTATGGTGGCTTATGCCTATAATCCCAGAACTTCAAGACACTGAGGTGGGAGGTCTGCTCCAGGCCCGGAGCTTGAGAACAGCCTGGGGAACATAGCGAGACCCCATCTCTATTTAAATTAAAATGACTGGGCATGGTGGCTCACACCTGTAGCCCCAGCACTTTCAGAGGCCGACGCAGGTAGATCACCTGAGGTCAGGAGTTCAAGACCAGCCTGACCAACATGGCAAAACCCCATCTCTACCAAAAATACAAACATTAGCTGGGCATGGTAGCGGGTGCCTGTAATCCCAGCTACTTGGGAGGCTGAGGCAGAAGAATCACTTGAACTTGGAAGGCAGAGGTTGTAGTGAGCCGAGATCATGCCATTGTACTCCAGACTGGGCAATAGAGCAAGACTCTGTCTCAAAAATAAATAAATAAATAAATAAATAGACAGGCATGGTAGTGCCTGTCTCTTATACACATCTAGATGTGTATAAGAGACAGGTGTTAGCCAGGATGGTCTCGATCTCCTGACCTTGTGATCCGCCCGCCTCGGCCTCCCAAAGTGCTGGGATTACAGGCGTGAGCCACTGCCAACTTGGTGCGTGGGCGGGGAGCCAGTGAGCTGGGAATGCTGACTGGTCAGAGATAAAATCATGGAGAGTTGGAGCTGTCTTCTTGCAGAGTCAGTTCTGGGTGAGGGCCACAAGACCAGATGAGCCAGTTTATTGATCTGGGCGTTGCCAGCTGATCCATCAAGTGCAGGGTCTGCAAAATATCTCAAGCACTGATCTTAGGAGCAGTAGGGACAGTCAGAATCTTTTAGCCTGCAGCTGCGTGACTCCTAAACCATAATTTCTAATCCAATGGCTAATGTTAGTCTAGTCCCCAGGCAAGAAGGAGGTCTGCTTTGGGAAAGGGCTGTTACTGTCTTTGTTTAAACTATAAACTACAAACTAAGTTTCTCCCAAAGTTAGTTCAGCCTACGCCCAGGAATAAACAAAGACAGCTTAGAGGTTAGAAACAAGATGGTGTCGGTTAAGCTAGATCTCTTTCACAGTCTCAGTCCTAATTTTGCAAAGGTGGTTTCCCCCGAACTCTCCATCTCCACCTCCTCCCACCAGGGCTCAAAATCACCAGGACGGGGCAGTCTGACTGATAATGTCTTTTCATTCATTTATTTTATTTATTTTGAGATGGAGTCTCGCTCTGTTGCCCAGGCTGGAGTGGAATGGCACGATCTCGGCTCACTGCACCAGGTTCAGGCGATTCTCTTGCCTCAGCCTCCTGAGTAGCTGGGATTACAGGCATGTGCCACCACGCCTGACTAATTTTTGTATTTTTAGTAGAGACAGGGTTTTGCCATGTTGGCCAGGCTGGTCTCAAACTCTTGACCTCAGGTGATCTGCCCACCAAAGTGCTGGGATTACAGGCGTGAGCCACTGCCAACTTGGTGCGTGGGCGGGGAGCCAGTGAGCTGGGAATGCTGACTGGTCAGAGATGAAATCATGGAGAGTTGGAGCTGTCTTCTTGCAGAGTCAGTTCTGGGTGGGTGCCACAAGACCAGATGAGCCAGTTTATTGATCTGGGCGGTGCCAGCTGATCCATCAAGTGCAGGGTCTGCAAAATATCTCAAGCACCGATCTTAGGAGCAGTAGGGACGGTCAGAATCTTTTAGCCTGCAGCTGCATGACTCCTAAACCATAATTTCTAATCCAATGGCTAATGTTAGTCTAGTCCCCAGGCAAGAAGGAGGTCTGCTTTGGGAAAGAGCTGTTACTGTCTTTGTTTAAACTATAAACTACAAACTAAGTTTCTCCCAAAGTTAGTCCAGCCTACGCCCAGGAATAAACAAAGACAGCTTGGAGGTTAGAAGCAAGATGGTGTCGGTTAAGCTAGATCTCTTTCACAGTCTCAGTCCTAATTTTGCAAAGGTGGTTTCCCCCGAACTCTCCATCTCCACCTCCTCCC